GAGCTCTCAAGACATGTCCTAATTCAGTGCTTTTCCAAAACTTCCTATTTGCATGCAATTGCCATCACCACTGAAATTTAAATCTTCAAAAGCATCTAATGCCCTATAAAATATTAACGAACTTCAGCACACAAAAAGACAGCACGTTCCACAAATCTGTTAGAGACCACTGAAGAATCCAATGAAGTCTATTCACCAAAATATCCTATCTCAAAATGAGTTAAGTGTGCAGTGAACATTGGTTTCTCCAGTCCCCAAGTCTTCCAAGAATCTGTCCTTGTCCTCTCCCACTGCAAGCTCCTCAGCATTGCTCCATTACTGTGTGCCAGTGCACTACACCAAGCCAAAGACTGATGTGGACTTTTAATCAGAAAACTCAAAGAACAATGTGTTTATTTTTTAATTATTCACAGATTCGGTTCAAGCACAGCCAAACAAACAGCTGAATTGCAGCAATTCAGAGATTCTAATAAGCAGTTAAGAGTTTTTTCCTAATTGGGCTTTTCTGCTGAAGAAATCACACCACACGTTTTTAAAAATGTTTAACCAGGCTCCTTCTGTGAAGATTCCTGACCTATAAAACTAAGTGCTCTCAGGTTAAGCAAGAACATTGAGCAGATTAATAGCCAGCTATAAGATGAGAAACAGCAGCAGAAAAATTATTTTCTCAGAGAAGTTACAAGCAAAACCCCAAAGGAAACTTCACTATTTGATACATATAACGTAGCAATAAAGTTCTTTTACAAGACAACCAGCTCAAAATATGACTACAAAGCCTTTCAGATGATTCTCTTAGTTTTCCACCCTGGCACTTGGTATTATCATCCAAGAACTTAATGGGAAATACAACCCTCAAGACAAGAGAATCATGATTTTAAAATTAGCTATTACAACACAGGAAAAAGATCTACAAAATACCATGGAAAAACTCCCCTGAAAAGTTAAACTGATTGGTCAGCTGCCCTCAAAGAGAAAGCTAGACATTTTTAGGAAAAGCATTCAAATGAAACAAACCAAAATACTTCACTACTGTAGGTCTGTTGTGTGCACACTGAATACTGCACAGGGCTCTGACCTCTTGTTTTGAGGGGAATACAGACAAACTAGAAAAGAAAGAGCAAAATAGTAATGCTAAGCAGAGATATGCAATGTCTTCTGTATAAGAAGAGACTTGATAAACTGTTGTTCTTCAGCTTAGGAGGAAAAAAAAAAGAAAACAACTAACAGTAAGGGATAGATGCTGCCTTTGGTTTATGGTTTATCAAGTCTACTAACAGTCATGTTTTTGCCTCTTCAGATACTAAAAAGCTCCCATTCTGCTTTTCACAAAGTTCTAAAATTTAAAGTCTATCGTATCAGACTATTAATTCATACTTCCCTACCTTTTTGCAGAATCCTTTTCACAATATGGAAAAGGTTTGGGAGTACTTAGATATCTATACTTTCAACATGGTGATGTAATGACATACAGTGTTTAAATTCGTAGGTAACAGGCTGCAATAGAGCTTTCAGGCACTTAATTCGAAATAGAAAATGAACTTCTAAGAGCACAAAGTCTAGTTGGGGGCCAATAACTAGCAGTGGACCTCAGCAGTCAAGACTGGGTCCAAACCTGCTCAACATGTTCATTAATGATCTGGATGACAGGGCAAAGCGCACCCTCAGCAAGTTTGCTGATGACGCAGAATTGTGGGGAATGGCTGATGTTCCAAAGGGTCGTGCTGCCATCCAGAGGGACTTCAACAGGCTGGAGAAATGGGCTGATGGGAACTTCATGCAGTTCAACCAGGGAAGTCCAAATCTTGGAACCTGGGCAGTATAACCCCATGCACTGGTACATGCTTGGTGCTTACCTTCTAACAAACAGCTTTACAGGCCAGACCCTGGGGTCCTGGTGGACACTAAGTTGAACATGGGCCAGCAATGTGCCCTTGTGGCAAAGGTGGCAAATGGTGTCCTGCATTAGGAGGAGTGTTACCAGCAGGTGGAGGGAAGCATTCCTTCCCCTCTGCTCAGCACTGGCTGGACCATACCTGGAGTGCTGTGTCCGGTTCTGGGTCTCCCATACAGACATCAATGTCATAAACATCACTAACAACTATTTCAGTATTCCTCTGGCAATATGACTATCAGAGCATGCTTGCTCCCCCGGAAATGCAAACCAGTCGATATTCTGATGCAGGTCCAGCTCAGATCTACAGACTCAAAACCTTTCATCCCAAAAATCAAATCACAAGCATCATGCTTCGTGGTGTTTACCCATATAACCTTGATTTCAAAAAATAATGATGAGACAGATTATGAAAATGCTTGACAGTTAATCAAAGCTGAGAATAAACATTAGTTTCTTCGTTTGTAGAAAGTGTTCACTTGATTACAGCAGTATTGCTTTTAGGTCTGTCCTTAGTTCACCAAGAGGAAAACAGATACCTGTAGATGAGCCATAGTACTTGACACAGTAAAACTGAAATCGTATTTTATTAGTATGAACTCATAAACTGAGTTTGTAGTTAGAGTAATATTCTTAAAATTGAATCAGACCTCCAAAAGTTGATTCTATCAATCAGAAACAGGTATTAAAATAGTCAGAAGATAGATGAGGAAATATGAAACCTGTTTGTAGTCAGCAAACAGCAAACATGGAAAGGTTTCCCAGAAATACAGAAACCTTAATAACCTGTGTTCTATCTTCTTCTTAGTCGGGAAAGGAAAAAAAAACTGTAATAATAATGGGGACCCTTTATGATATTCATAATGTGAATTAAGTATTTTTGTTTCAAAATTACACATTATTTTATCAAAATATCTGTATGCATAGTTATACATTCATCTTAAGTTTAACTGTTTTGTAGTGGTATAAATGCAATTAAATCCAGATTTTTTTTGCTATCACAATGCTATGATTAAAAAAACTGGAGCTAAGGAAAGCTGGTTATCATAAATTTGCTGAATTTTACAAGCTAGAATTCACCTCAGTTTTTGCAAAATTAAGGGCACAAATTACCTTATCACCTATGTTGTTAACAATTACAAAATGCAGGTTCCAGATTTTACTTTGGAATGGTCAACACAGTAAGTATTTTTAGGGTATAAAGAATTACCTCCTAAAAATGTCAAAAAGCAATATCCGAATATTAACTCTTATCAAGTAATCTTCATCGTTTATTTCACACCATCAGCACATATCCAAAGATTAAATTTCTTATGCCTCCTCTTTCTAACAAAGCTAGAGCTACTGGGAATTTCTCTTGCCTGGTTTCAACAGGTAATCTCATCAATTCATATAGTAACAGTGTCAGGAGGTGTAAGAGGAGAAAATCATAGAATCATAGGAAAGGTTGGGTTGGAAGGGACCTTAGAAATCATCTGGTTCCAACCCCCCCCGCCATGTAGGGGGTTGAGGTTGAAGGTGACAGTCTGAAATAAGTATGGTATTTCTGACACAATTTTGAAACACAGTGTTTAACAGCTCACCATTTCTCACAAAAACAACTGCCTTCATCTTTGCTTCCTACTCAGGCTCCAACTCCAAACTCTCAAAGTGAGTGAAGCAGTAGGAAGCAAAAAATGAAAAGTAATTATTTGCTATGAAATATTGGACTGATATACAATTAATTTCAAGATCACCAGAGTACATTCTAGGTTTACAGCTTTTGTCTCCACAAGAAATAACGTTTTGTACTTTCCCTCATTTTCAATGTAAGAAATCATAGCATCCACTCTTGAGTAACTGTTTAAAATGAAATGAAAGTACCTGTGGCTGGAATGGTGGAGCAGTAGGCCCCTGCATGCCTTGTGACTGTTCATCCATCCTGCCACGTAAAAGCGTCCCTTATGTCCTGAAAAGAGAAATACAGTCATTACACTGTAATTCAATCTGTTTTTATGATCAATGAACATCAGCACAACTGAAAAATTAGCTTTCTCATTCGCATGCTTCAGTCTTTGAACGTTTAACTATTCCAGCCCTGCACTGTTTTGGGAAGAAAGTTCTCTTATGTTTAGCTGTTCCATAAAATGAAATAAAATCACTAGACACACCTGATCATCTTATTAAAAGATGAGCATTAAACTACTTGAGCCAGACATAGTTCTGTCTGATGAAAGCTGCACCACCCCTTTATTCTTCAGGGGCACCAACTATTTGATTAACTCCACAGATGTCTACTGGCCAGTACCTTCGACCCATGGGAAAGAGCAGATAAGCAGAAGAGTTATCACTGCTGCATGCATATTGCTTATGTTGCATTAATTTAACTGTAGATTTTGGGGAGTATGCTAGAGTAGCTCCATCTAAATAGAAAAAGCAGCTGAATGCATACACTTGTTACCTTCTGACAAGCTAGGTAAGAGGGCTTTAAGATACCATGTTAGGTGCACAACCTCTGTTCCCAACTACGAAACTCTCATATCCCATCAGTAAGATGGGAGGAGACATGCCTGCCAAGTATGCAAGACAGACACATGCTTTGACCAGTAATAAGGGTTGCAAAACATGTTGAATCATTACTAGAAAGAACAGGAGACACTAAAATGCAAATGCTTACGAGGCTTTTTTCTCAGCTAAGCGAATCCTTTCTTAGCCTACAAGCAATGCTATTGAGGGGGAGCAGGTGCAGCACCCAGTTTTATCGGTGCCTGTGTAGGCCAACTCTGTTCAGATGAAAACAGAAAGTTCACCAGCACCTTCAAATGCACATATGAAATATGCAATTATACAAATAAAAATATTTAAAAGGCTATAAAAACTATCAACAGAAAGCAGCAAACCCTAGAAATGTTTCTCAAAGCCCATTTCAAAGTATTTAAGAAACTAACAAATAGCCTGTGTTCACTCTTGTCCTTCTTACAGCGTCACTGTGGTTACATGACTAATAGATAAACTAATCACAAAGCAGCTTTGCAAAGTTTCTCAATATCCTCCCTTAGCGTATTAAGCAGTGGATTGGATAAACAAATTATTAGCAATCTGCTTTTACTCCCCTGTTTAAAGCAGTCACTCCATGCCATTCCAGTACCATTAGCTATTCCTAATACCAACCACAGCCTTCCTCCAGAGCAACTGAGGGTCCCCACAGCTTTGCCTTCCTACCCTTAAGACTCCTGTATAAAGCATACAGTTTGGGACTTTCTGCTGTTTTGTTTTGAGTATTAATGCAAAGATAAAAGTGATTAAAAGAGATAACAAAAAAAAAAAAAAACCACAACAAAATTTCAGGCAGGTCGGGGGGGGTGGGGGGAGAGGGACAGGACGGGACGGGACCAAACCAAACCAAAAACCAACCCAACCAAAACACACACAATTCTCAAGCTAAGGTGAGAGGCAGAGAAAAAGAGGTAGGAACTCCAAAGATTCCTGTCAGAACAAGCACGGCGAAAAAGGAGGAAACAGCTGGCGGAAACATCACTGGCTAGGCAACCTGTTAGCCACCCCTAGGACACCAACATTGACACGTCTTGCAAGTTTTATAACATCTCCCCTATAACCTCCCTGCCAAGGCAAGAAATCATTACACACCATCACTGGAATTAAACTGTTGTCACAAAACTGCACCCGAGTTCTGCAGTTAGATTCACCAGGGTTTATACAATTGCAACAAATTCTGGGGGAGGAACGCATGGCAACCTTATGTGATGTTATCATAGAATGGTTTGGGTTGGAAGGGACCTTAGAGCTCACCCAGTTCCAACCCCTGCCATGGGCAGGGACACCTACCACTAGACCAGGTTGATCCAAGCCCCATCCAACCTGGACTTGAACACTGCCAGGGATGGGGCAGCCACAGCTCCTCCAGCGACCCTGTGCCAGGGCTTCACCACTCTCACAGTAAAGAATTTCTTCCCAATATCTAAATCCAAATCTACCCTCTTTCAGTTTTTAAAGCCATTCCCCCTTGTCCTATCACTGCATCTTCTGCTAATAACTTGCTATAGAAATACATCACCAATAGAATGCTTTTCTGTCACTGATAGAATGCTCTTCTGAAACGCTATTTTGAAGAGGCTTTCTAAGAATTTTAATCTTTTTGATAGCATCAATATTTCTACTGAAAATTTTACAGTGTTTTACTAATATGTTTACATATTGAATACTTTTGACCACGTAATGCACCAGTAGATAATTCCACTGGGTCACAAACATTTGTTTCAAAACACCAGGCAAAAGATGTAAATACAAAACTCTTTATCCTCTACTGCAGATATTTATCCAAGATTAGTGAAATCTAGGTTGAAATGTTTAGTTGATGTATGTTGATTCAGGAACTATACAATCCATTCATCTTGTCTGGATGGCCAGAGACACTGACTGGAAGCATTTGAGAATATGTATGACGGTTTTCTTAAATTTGAGACTAGTAAGACTAGTAAGGGAAGAAGTCCTATCATTACCACTGCCAGTGGCTCTGCCCTCTGAGGATCTTTTTGTAACAAAAGCAAGCAAACGGAGGAGATAACAAACGGTATTTACCACAGCAAGGATGGAAGACTTATTAACTTGTGGATCTGTTGTTGCTTTTGCAGAGGAAAGGCAAAGATCGGTATTTTCTGACGATATATGGAAGTTCTTTTATTTTTTTAAACTTGATTTTGTCTTTGAAGACTGCACGATAGATTCACATTTTAAGAGTAACTTGGCATTTTGATCATACAAAGAGCCAAGGATGCAAAAAAATGCCAAGAATGCAAATAAGTCTTTTGTACTGTTTGTCAACATAAGCAAGAATTAGATTTTGCTGCTTGAAGGCTGTTTTCACAGTGAGGCACGACTTTCACCTTGATAATAAACTCCAGAGGTCAACACATCATGGTATAATATTTATCATATTTAATTTTAAATTGAGACAATTATTATTACTCTTCCAAAGATGGTTTTCAAGTCCTAATATATGGTGAAAAGACACTAAAAATACTGACAGAGTCATGAATTGTTTAAGCTTGAAAAGCAAATACAAAACACATCTAAATGTGACATGTTTATCACCTCTTCAAACAAGCAATTCGATGACCTTCTCCTGCAAATCCATCACCATGAGATACATTGGTTTATGGAAAACAGACATATCAGATGAAGTGAAAGGCAAGTCAACTACAGCATCACCATCCAAAACCTCCAAAGTGCCAAACATACCTAACGTTTTTAAATGCTCTCACACTGATCATGTAGGAGAAAAGGACTCTTCGCCTTCACCACAGCACTCACAAAGACAGGAAGAGTGAAAGACTCTGACTCATTTTACTTGCAAAGATGACTTTCATCATTTTGATGACGCAAATCATTTGGATTCAGACCAATCTGTACACAACAGCAATCACATTAGAACAAACGTACACACTAAATCTTATACTCCAGTTATGGTTGCTAACACTTTGCAGGCATGAGAAGACTTCTGGTTAACTACTAGTATTTTAAATCTTTGCCTTTTTCAGTTGATCAAAACAACAGGTGGCACCTACACATGAAGGATGCAGTGAAGTGCCTGGAGATACAGACTGCATGACCAGTTTTTCAATTGAAATCGCAATTCCATAGCAACTCTTCTAATTGACACTATTTACTCCATGCACCAAGTCCACAAGATAGCAGAAGGGCATCAAGTCTTCAGCAGCAAGTTATACTGTCAAACTGCAACTGCCTGAACAGGGAATAACACCTCTCCCTTCCTTCATACACGTGCCTCACTTCCTTAGTGACCACCAGTGAAGAGCTCTCAGATATCTGCCCATGCATCTAAAGATCATGCAAAGATACAAAGTAGCCCAAAACAGAGGGCACATTCCTACACCCCAAGGCAAGCTCAGGTCCCACAGCCAGCGCTCAGCTTTCCAGGTGGCTTCCACCAGCATGCAAGAAGAGAGGTGGGACCACCCACAACTCCTCATGAAATCTGAGCAGAAGACCTACTCCTGAACAGGAACCAGAGCTCTCTGGTTCCATTTCACTGGAATGTATTTTAAACCAGCATTTTTTAAAGAAAATAAAGAAACCTGGGAAAAAACTTGCAATCCTCGGGACATTTAAAGTCTTGCAAATAAGTCTTAATAAACATGATCAAATTATTTCAGGAGGAAAAGCTTAAATGCACTACCAAATAACACAAAGCATGCTTTTTAAACACTAGTTTCCTAGTTCAAAGTCCATAAACCATTCATATTGAAATACATTTCATGGCATTCAGGCAATAATGCTATTGTTTTAACAGATGGCAGTTCAACAACAACAAAAATACAAAGCTTTCCTGTAGAGAACATCATTAACAGTCTCAATGATACATGCTTTCCATTAACTACACGCTACGCACTTTTTTGTTGATTTTGGACCTTAAGTGGGAACATGCAATAATCCATGTCAAAGAAGGAACAGCTGTACTTTTTTAAAAAGTATATACTTACAAGAATATTCAGTGTTAGAGTTCTGCTGAGACGGAAACCTCAGTCTTTTTTTCTACAGAATACAACTACTCCACGTAATATCCGAGTACACCGTTCACAATCTGCTGACCAGGCACACCATCACTTCAGTCAGTTGCTGTTCACAAACAACAGAATGTACTATGCTTACTTCTGGATTACACCACCAGTTAAGGCAGATATTTTTAGTTTTTACTATAACTATTATTTTAGTTGGGTTACAGCCAAAGCCCTCCAGAGACAATGATCTAACAGCCTGCACACTCATTTTTTGGTGTCAGGTTAGATTCTTCAGTACCCAACACCAATTTAAAAATTACAAACTTCAGACCCCTAAACTTTCAACTATCTTTACTAACTAAATTCAAAGATAAGGACCATCCTCAGCTGAAGAAAAAACACATATATTAATACTAATTTCCATATAAGC